TTCAGTAACTCTAAAGGCTAATTGGCAAAGGCAGGTTTGGTGTTTGATAACTTATTTTAAACCTAAATGAAGTAAATTGTATAAGCTACACATGTGTGATAAGTGTCATTAAACTCCTGTGAGTAAGTCATAAAACCTTAAATCAATGAAAAAAGACATACAAAAATCGCCGGTAAATGAATATATCCTTCGACTTATGAAGTTGAACCCAGTGTCACTAGGACCTTTTAAATAAAAAGCTAATATTGATTTTTAATGTATAACTTTTCTTTCTCCCTATATCGATAAGCGGTGCGCACACATATATTTACTCTTATTTTTCTTTTATATCTTATATGTATTATCTTCTCCAATAAGCGACTAAAATGACTTCTATAACGAGCTTTGCATCGATGGCTCCAAGTCAGTTGACCATAGGGCATCAGGTTATGAGAAACTCCTCATGCTTAATTGCTTGAGACAAATAAGTTCCAAAGAAGAGTATAAGATGAATATCACTTTTTTATATATTTCAAAATTTTTTGAATCTCGGTCATTTTTTCTTTTAAAGTGAATATACTATAGCTTTAGTTCAACCTAATTAAAGGTCATTCGATATTGAAAATCAATTTACCACACAAATGACCACCATCCCAAATCTCAAATATGCGGTCAAAACCTAGAGTCTAATATGTATAGTGAATAAGATATAGGTTATTTCAAATAAGTTTTAAACAAATAAATGAAAATTTAATTTATCAATCATGAACTTTACTAGTACTTGATAGCAAAATAACATATCCAATAAAAAAATATTTTTATTTTTTTTTATTTTTTAATTGATAAAACATGAATGTACCAAACACAAAAATAAAAACAATATATATATATATATACTCACAACACAAAAAAAATAAAAATGTGCACGTGTTATTGCAAAAAAAAATAAGATGCATGCTATGAATAAGTACAAGCATGTACTAAAAATACCAAGTTAAATGATATAATGTACTCCAGGTTCAACCTAGGTAAGAAAATTTCTAAGTCTAAAATTGTTCAAAAAGTCTTTAGATCCTTGCCAAAAAGGTTTAGACCTAAGATTACTACGATTAAAGAGATCAAAGACTTGGAAACAGTTAAGATAGAGAAAGTTGTAGGATCCCTCCAAACCTACGAACTCACCATATCTCAATCGAAGAAGAATAAGTCCATGGTTTTAAACATCTTTAAGGAAGAGAAGTATGAGTCTACTATACTGAGACCCTTAGAGATGATAAGATAGCTTATTTTGTTAAGAAATTTCAAAAAATTCTTAGGACTAAAAGAAAACCTCAAGAGCGGAAGAAGGGTGCCCCTAGTAAATTTCAAAAAGACAAGAGTGATAAGACTAATGCTAAGAGTCGTAGTAAGAAATCTCAATCAATTAGATGCCATGAATGTCGAGGTTTTGGTCACTATAGGAATGAATGTCCTACCTATAAGAAGAAACTAAATAAAAGGAAGGGTAAGGCATTGTCAGTGTCATTAATTGATGATAAATTCAATTCAAGTTATCAAAGTGATTCATTGAGGATGAAAAGAACTATACAGCATTCGTATCTATAGATAAGAATGAATTTGATCAAGAAAGTTGAGGATGAGGAATATAGTGAGAACTTTGAGGAAGACTCTGAGGATGAGATAGAGATTTATGAGGCATATCATCAGTTCTTTGAGGAGAGTCTTAGGATAAAAAAGGTCTATAAAGGTGTATTGAAGAAGGTTAATGAACTTGAGAGAGGGAGAGAAACTCATAGCTAACTTTCAGGATTCTACCAAAAGTCATAGTGAGTTGAGACTTGTCAATGAAAACTTAGAAGCTAAGGTTAAAACCTTAACTAGTGACCTAGAAAAATCTAAAACTCAACTCTATTCCTTCTTGAGTGGTACTAAAAAACTTGATAATCTGTTAGGGATGAACAAGCCAACAGAAATAGGCAAGGTCTAAGATATGTTCAGACTGATAACAATACTCCTAATACATCCAAGACCACTTTTGTCCCAACCACCAACGTTGCTAATCTTGAACCCAAGGACAATTGTTTCTTAAGATAGAGGCCTACTAGACAACATAGAACCAATCGGCCTAGAAACTAATATCAACAATCACTTAGTTTTGAACCTAGGTTTATTCCTACTTGTCACAATTGTGTTGTACTAGGACACGCAAAATCTAGGTGTCATAAACTTGTGAATAGAAGTAAGAGTCAGGATATCTCTAACAAGGTTAACTTTCTTACCAATCAGGTTAGCTACTTAGCTGAGATGATGACACGGTTGACTAGGATCACATGTATTTCTAAGCAGGTTTGGTTTAAGAAAATTGATCTCCCTAAGTATGATGAAAAATTGAACTGCCGTGTTGCCCATGTTGCTCTTAAAGCTCAAAATGACTCTATGTAGTATCTTGGTAGTGCGTGTTCTAGACATATGTGTGGAAATAAAGTCTTGTTCTCTAATCTTGATGATTAGAATTGCAGTATGATTACTTTTGGAGATAGGGTCACTGTACCTATCATTGTTAAAAGTAACGTCAATATATCTAGATTACCTATTATTTCAAATGTGCTTTATGTGAATTGTTTAAAGTCAAACTTGTTAAGTATTAGTAAAATATGTGATTATGATTTTAATGATAATTGTGTGTGTGAACTCATCTGAATTAATTAATAACTGGGACTTGTTGCTTTTATTAGTTAATAAATTTAAATTCCACATAAAATATGTATTCACCATCCTCTAAGCATTGGTTGGGTCGAAAGTCGTAATTTTCCATATAAACCGATGATCATCTTCATTCTAGATTGTTTTTTAAAAAAGAATTAAGACACAAACCAAGAATCCTAGAATGATGGACTCCATTGTTAGTTCCACAATTTATACCCATTAATATATAAAATCCCATTTCACATTTAATGCAATCTTCAAAATAATTACAATAAAAACATCGATCAGTGTACAAATTCACATATACAAGCAAGAGGTCACGTAATTATCCACTAGTTTATGTTTGAGAATTGTGTGAAAATTGCATAATGATTTATGTTGATTACATTTTCCTTTCTTCGTGGTGGATGAGTCAAGTTTCTTTTCCTCAAAGCCTAATAATCCTTG